TAATCGGTCAAATATATTTAATCATCAATTCTTTTGCATCAGCAAAACGGTATAACGTGCGTTTTGATTTGTGTTTAGAGATTTTTCGTCGTGTTTCTTAGTTAATACTAAGACAATGCCACCAGTGAGACATCAAAATATCGGTCGGCAGTCAACTGTGTGTTCAAATTTGGTGCAAATATAATTGAAGAACGCGATTTTAACTCAATTTTAAGGGATTTTTAATTCTTTGACTCAAATTATACACACTTTGATTATTTATACGCCTAGATAGAGCAATCCAAAGAAAGCAAGAAAATAAAACGGTTCATGTTTCGCCCAACGTGACTCTTATATCAGATTGTTCTAAAACAGTCAATGTGTGAGTGTATGTGTGTAGCAACGAGCATATGTGCCATATGAAGTAGATATTTTTTGCGTCGCTTCAGTGCAGTTAAAACGGTATCTCGAGTATAATCATAGAATACATATTTATTGCAACTTAAGCTTTAATAAGTACGTAAAGTGTAAACTTTTCGGTACTTTTAAAGGCGGTACGAAGTTCGCCGGGTCACCTAGTTTTTATTAAAACAAGTAGCGGAACCGACAGGCCTTTTCCTGTTAGATGAAAAAACCAAAAATGTATTTACCTATTTATGTACTGCAATAACTACGAGCACTTTAACATGTTTACAATATATAAGATATTAATTCGTTTTCCTCTTACACAATTTATCACCATAGACTTACTATTATTATTTTATATAGGGCGTTCATATATATCACTAAAGGAAGTGTCATATAAATAAAAATCAGTCACTCTTAAATGCAGTTACTCATGGGACATGGTCTGTACACGATAAAAAGTATAAACATGTTTCTTACACTCATATTTACTTGTGCGTTATGTGTCCTGTGTGTTGTTGCATCAAATGTTCACTTACACCCTCTATCTGATGAGTTCATCGAATCAATTAACTTTAATCAAAATACTTGGACCGCCGGCCGCAACTTTCCTAAGGAAACACCACTAAAATATATTTACAATCTCATGGGCACTCGCAGTGATAGTCGCATGGATAACCTACCCCAAAGAAACTATACTTGTTCAAGGAAAACAAAATATCCAAAACAATTTGACGCTAATTACGGAATTGAGCCGTCAGGTAGGGTTTTTAAAAACTAAACTTTAAATTATAACTTTATTTATTTAAATGTTTTACAAAATAACTTATACTAATTGATCCCGATGATCAGGTCTTACAAACTATACGTCAAGATGCTTCCACGATTGAAGCTCAAGCAACTCCCAAAACTGTCCGAAGGTTTTACATTAACTAAATCTGTCTAATAAGCACTTTTCAACACGATTGCTCAATCGAGCCACCTGCAGTCCTGCACTTGGGAAACACATAATGTACGCGTGACGTATGAGTGACGTAGACGAGTCTTGTACTCGTAACACCTTCCCTCCTAGATGAGCAACTATTTGCGAAGATTGAAAGCAAATGTTGCGGCTTTTCTTTCTTCGGTGGATGGTGTAGAACCCGCTGATGCCATTTCCATCTCTTGAGGCTGTGTAGATTGAACTCGCTGTTGGTTCTTACGCCGTCTCAGTAGTAAGCCACACTAATGAGTGCAAGTGCACTTAACAGTATGATGACGTATGTAGGTATCGTGGTGTGATATAAGCTGGATAAATCCACGGTGTTAATTCTAACAGGTGGGTCCATGAGTTATTGATGTTGAATATTGTGTAATTTGTTCAAATCAATTGTTGTGAAATTATAATGTGGAAAGTTTTTCTTCGAATTTGCTGACATCGGAGTCGAATGTGGGAATGTTATTATTTCAACAGGTTGCCCACGAAATTTGTCATCAGTATTAACAATTGTGAATTCTGGTGTGTGAATGCTGCAATTTCGGGGAATCGTTGCGAAGTAGCTTCCTTTTAACAGATGATATTTTTCTTGTCCGCATGATATTTTTACTTTGATTTTGTTAGGTAATGATAAAATATAATGTTGACTGTCCAGTTCTAGTAGTGCTTCCTTCAGGAGTGATATGGATGTAGGATGGCACTCTCCTGTATTCTGATGATAAATGAGACTGAAGATGCAGTCACTGCGTGTTCGGGTTTGATGGTTAAACTGCTGCTTGCATATGTACCAGGTGTCGATCTTCGGGCATTCAGCCTCCATGTACGCAAATTCCTGGGAATTGGATGCCATGTATGGGAATGGTGGAAGGATAATTTCTGAGTTTTTATTAGGAACAGGACAGAGTCTATAAAGGTCATATGTTTCTAGAGACATTATAGGAAACTTCAAGACAATTACGATTTTCTTATCAATAAAATATGATCCTAAGGTAATTAGATCGTAATAAAACCTAACATCTAAGTTTAGTAACGCATTGGGATTATATAGATTTTTAAGCTGTGTTAAAACATTTTTAAAATCACTTATATATAGTATAGAATGGTGCATTACGTTTGTGCGACTAAAAGCTAAAATATTACCTAATCTAGTTATTTCAGATGGATATTTTCCGTAAGTATGCTAAATAATTGGGAAATTAGCGTAAATTGATACATCTGTTCTTTTTCAGTTACAGATGTATTACTTATTGAAATTATTGCTTTTTCTAATTTTCTTTAATTTGAAGAGATATTTAAAATTTGAGTTTGTTGGATGATCATTTCTTTATATAAACTAATATGCTTATTAAAACTATCCGAAAGGTCTTATATTTTTCGGTACAAATTATTACGAAAAGTGGCTTGTTGCATGAAATGGTATTTAAAAGGTTTAAATTGATGTGTAAGCATTCCAGAATTGAATTATCTCGAAGGCATAAGTGAGTCATGCGAATTCAAAGGTGAGTAATTAAACGGGGCATTGTTTATCGATTTCTTAGAAATTAGCGAGTTACTGGCTTTCGATTGTAAGTATAAGAGGTTTAATTCTTCCTGGGCGAAATCCAAGGTCTTTTCTAGCGAGTCGGGGCGCATGCACCTGACACGTGAGCCTAAAGGCTCGGCTAGGCCTCTGGTATATGTTTGAAGAGCTAATTTTTTTGTAAAGTTCACGTTTAGCCTCAACTGTTGTTTTAATTTGTTCGTGTAATTCTACATAAGTCATAATTATACTAAGTAAATTTTGAACTCGCTCGTAAAATATTTGCGGTGTATCGGAACCTTGAGTTAACATAGATAAATCGGTGTATAGGGCGGACTCGTCTCTGTGATCCGAAAAGCTGTTAATTAGCGCATTTCTTATGCCATTCCAGTCCTGGGGGATGCCATTTGTTGCTAATGTTTTAGCAGCAGGCCCGGTTATTTTATTTAAAATTCCATTAATTAAAGCGTAATTATTTAGTTCATTTCCCGGAGCTGGATTAACATATGTTAAAATCAGTTGATCGCAAATGTTCAAAAATCTAATTAAAATGTTCGAATTTCCATCAAACTCAGGGACTAGTCTTAAAGATTTCCAAATCCTTTCTGTCATATCGTTTGAATAAGCTACAGATTGTTGTTCGGTCGCCATTTCTTCTTCTATGCTTTCTAATGTAGATAATTCGATTTCGCGATGAAACCTTAATTCTCTAGAATTAGGACGAATACTGCGCCGCAGATTCGGTCCTATATCTCTACTTTTCTTTGGAAAAAAAATCTTGAAAACTTTCTAAACTATTAAAAGAAAACTTAATTAATTTACTTATTAAGTCCTACGGGAGACAGGAAAGGGGCCGCTGTCAGCCAATAGGAATAACTAGCAATCTTTCTAACTATAAAAAATTAATTTACTTATTACGTCCTACGGGAGACAGGAAAGGGGCCGCTGTCAACCAATAGGAATATCTAGAAATCTTTCTAACTATTAAAACAAACTTATTTAATTAACTTATTACGTCCTACGGGAGACAGGAAAGGGGCCGCTGGCAACCAATAGGAATACGTAACTTATATAATAAAACTCACAGGAGCAGGATGCTTAGCTTAGTGTGGTGATGGGCCATCGATTTTTGGATTAGCGCCGGTTTTCGAAGTTGATTCTTCTTTCCCGTCTGACGACTGCTTCGCGTAGATTCGTAGAGATAGTCGACACGCCGACGACACGACTATCAGGCTGATCGAAGTATGATGCTCGCACTGACTCGACTATCCTACCGACTGCGCCAATTACGGAATTGAGCCGTCAGGTAGGGTTTTTAAAAAGTAAACTTTAAATTATAACTTTATTTATTTAAATGTTTTACAAAATAACTTATACTAATTGATCCCGATGATCAGGTCTTACAAACTATACGTCAAGATGCTTCCACGATTGAAGCTCAAGCAACTCCCAAAACTGTCCGAAGGTTTTACATTAACTAAATCTGTCTAATAAGCACTTTTCAACACGATTGCTCAATCGAGCCACCTGCAGTCCTGCACTTGGGAAACACATAATGTACGCGTGACGTATGAGTGACGTAGACGAGTCTTGTACTCGTAACACGCTCGAAAGCATTGGAAAAATTGTCCAACTTTAAACGACATCAGAGATCAAGGTGGTTGCGGCAGCTGCTGGGCCGTAGCAGCCGTATCAGCCATGACCGATCGTATGTGCATCCTCTCCAAAGGAAAGAAGCATTTCTACTTTTCCATTAAAGATGTCCTCAGTTGCTGTGATTTTTGTGGTTATGGTTGTGAGGGTGGAGTATTGACAATGGCCTGGAGATATTATAAAAGTAATGGTATCGTATCAGGAGGCAGTTATAAATCAAAACAAGGCTGCCAGCCTTACACAATACCTCCTTGTAATCACTTGGTTTGGGGAGAAAGAGAACAATGTAAAAATATTCCAATAACACCAAAATGTAAAAAAAAATGTAATAGGAATCATGGTAAAGTTGTTTACACCGTTGCAAAGTGTGACATCGAAAAAGAAATTTATAAATACGGACCAGTGACTAGTACTTTTACAGCATATGAGGATTTTCTCAATTACAAAGAAGGTACAATTACACGTCAGGTCAAAAATTAGGCTTACATTCTGTGAAAATCATCGGCTGGGGTGAAGAGCGTGGCATTAAGTACTGGCTAGCGGCGAACTCGTTTAACACTGACTGGGGAGACAACGGTTTCTTCAAAATCATAAGGGAAGGCGTCGGAAGTTGCGGTATAAGCGATAATGTCGTAGCAGGAAGATAAGATATTTAGTTAATTTTTTAAGGCAAAAAATATTTTTTTAGCTATATTTTTTCTAATATACAACTCGGCATTAAAACCTGTGAGTGAATAATCACCCCTATTTTTAATAGAAAATATATTTATACAGTCTATTACAGGGTATCATTTAGTCTTTATTTTATTAGAATCGGTATACTTTATCAAAAGTCATTGCAATGAAATAAAGAAAGATAATCTTTTGTTTTCACCAAATGAATACGGGACCATTTCGCCAAATAACTGATTCAAACAAAAGAAGAATCATCAAAATCTGTACACGCATCTCGATCAGATATGCGCGAACAACAATAAAAAAATCATCAAGTTGGTTAAAAGCTAACATTAAGTAAAATATTATTTGTCAGTCAATAATTATACAGTTCGAGCCATTTTTTTTAAGAAAAATATTTTTGTGTATGAAAATAAACACATTTTTGTCGACAAGGTTTTTTATTAATTATAATTAAACATCATCGATTTCCCAACTAAAACTAGTGTTTTGTCTCTTTTTGAGTACGAATGAACAAATCCACATGCATTCTGTGTCTGTTGCAGGGTGGGGACGGGGTCATACAAAATCGCCCATGGTCCTTTGCTTTATAACGATATTATATCCGAGTGGCATAGGCTATATTTTATTCCGTCCCGATATTTTAAATACGAAAGTGAGTTTGTTTGTTAAACTTTCGGCCCCTAAACACTTAATCCATTATAATGAATTTCCCTATAGAAATAGATGGTTATAAGCTACATTATCGAAATACATATAGGGGTGGGTTGATGAAAGGGGTGATTAACCAATAAAACTTTTATATTATTTGCTTAAAATTTTGCAGAATTATCGTTTATAATTACAAAATCAACTTATCGTGAGCTGATTTATAAAGTCAGGGAGTCCGTACCTTCAAGCGAACTTTTTTTTTGTTATAATAAACATAATGAGATATTGGTTATTTCTCATTATGTAAAGTAACCCTTTAATGACATGAAGTAATATCGTTAAATTTACACATTGTTTTTAATTAAGTCGGTGGAACTATTTTAATTAATATAATAATATATATTTTTAAAATTCGATAACAATAATTTATCTATATACTCTTAAAACGTGAGGAGTTAACAACGCACAAAATGACATTCTTTTTTTGATGCCGTTCGTTGTAAGTAACAAATTCGGTATTAATAAGTATCACTGAAACTTGGCTTAACAGTAACTTTCACGACTCGGAATACTTTGATAGTATAGTGCGATTCAATTAAGAATAGGAAAGCCAATGACCTCCATCTGTCAATTGTCGTTTGAAAAGTACGGTTTGCAAAAAAGTCTTGGAACCCTTTTTAGCACTCGGTTAATTCTAGAATAAAAACCAAATATTTGTAAACAAACAATAACAAATATTGATAACTAATATTGTTTGATATTTTTTTTCATTTACTGAGCTATGGCTATGACTGGTAATAATCTAAATCGTCAACCAAATGTCACTTTAAGTTAAGTTCATAAATTCGATTTAAAACTTTCGTTTACATAAAGGATGCATGTTCGTATGTGGACTAGTAATAGTGCATGATTATTCATATCTGCTCCGGCGGTAATGCAGAGATGAGCGGAATTGAAGTCACACAGTCTTAATAAATAAATTTTATTAAAAATCGTTTTTTTCTCAATCTTAGTAAATAAAATAAATTGTTCGTGGGAGAGCCAAGCAGTAGCTTAGGCTACTGAATGAATGGGCCGGCTCGAGCGGAGGAATACCACGACCTCACAGAATACCGGCGTGAAGCAGTACTTTGTACCGTGTTTTGCCGAGTGAGTGAGGCTACCGGAGTCCCAACCCCCCCCCCCCCCCCCCTTTCCTCATGATGGCGCAGTTAAATAGGATAATACCCCAGGGGGGTACCAGCTGTTTTCACGCTGGAGAATCCCCCTCTGGACGTCCATGCCCAGAACTGTCTCCTTCTGGACGTGGACGTCGAGGCTGCCCTTCGTATTCTGGGGAGGGCGAAACCACGCTCATTACCGAAACTACTCGAGGCCAGAGCAAGCGTCATACGTCACCCCCTGCCATGTTTAACGTGGATTTCTGCAATATCAGGGGCTTACACTCCAACCTTAATGATGTTCACTACCACCTTCAGACAGTGCAGCCGGCCTTTCTTTTCTTGACTGAGACGCAGATATCCTCTCCAGCCGACACCTCCTACCTCCAGTACCCTGGGTATACTTTGGAACATTCCTTTGTACCACACATACCGTGTGTACGTTAAAGAGGGTATCAGTTTCCTTCGCCTCAGCAACTTTGAAGGAAGGGACCTCTCCATCTAAAGATTGCGTGTAGACGTCGATGACCATCCCCGCGTCTACGCCTGCCTCTACAGGTCCCATAGCGGAAATACCGAAACTGACCGACTCTTTGATCACGTCCAGGTGGCTACAGACTCCGTGCTTCAGCAGATTCCATCATCTGAAATTGTGATCCTTGGCGATTTCAATGCCCACCACTCCGAATGGCTTGGATCGTCCACTACCGATCATGCAGGCAGATCTGCTCATGACTTCGCCTTGGCCTATGGTGACCAGTTGTGTCACACCATAGTGTGACACAACTGGTCACCTCGCCTACGCGAATCCTAGATGTCGAAGACCATACACCTTCACTGTTGGATCTTCTGCTGACTTCACATCCGGATAATTACAAAGTGTCCATAGATGCCCCTCTGGGCTCCTCGGACCATTGTCTAATCCGGAGTATGGTGCCACTCACTTACTCACCGCGGCCGCAATTTGCTGGCTGTCGTCATGTGTGGTCACTATAAGTCAGCAGACTGGAATGGGATGCGCACTTTCTTTTCATCCTACCCTTGGGGCCAGATTTGCTTCTCGCAGAATGATCCCAACGTCGCTGCCGATTCTGTCGCCGATGTTGTCCTTCAGGGCATGGAACTTTTTGTTCCTTCCTCTGTGGTTCCCATTGGTGGCAAATCCCAGCCTTGGTTTGGTCACTACTGTAAACTGGCATCTCGCCAAAAACAGATGTGTTATCAGGCCTGGGCAAACGCAGCGGCGGTCGGGGATAACAACACTAGCGATCTCAAAAAGAAGTATAACTTGGCCTCCAGGTCCTGCAAAAGAGTAATTGCCAGAGCGAAGTCAGAGCACATTAGCAGCATTGGCGAGAGATTAATAAAACTTCCCTCTGGAACACGCGCGTTTTGGTCTCTTGCCAAGGCTGTTGAAGGAAATTTTTGTAAGCCATCCCTTCCACCCCTGCACAATGGCGACGAATCGATGGCCCATACTGTAAAAGAGAAAGCGGATCTTTTATGCTCACTCTTTGCGTCTAACTCGACTTTAAATGACAGGGGATACATCCCGCCGACCATCCCGCGGTGTGAGAGCTCTATGCCGGAGATCCGGTTCACACAAAGCTTAGTGCGTAAAGCACTCTTTTCTCTTGTCATCCACAAGTCGAGCGGTCCTGATGGAATCTCACCAATTGTGCTGAACACGTGTGCTCCTGAGTTGGCTCCGGTACTAACGCGTCTTTTCCGGCTCTCCTACTCTTTAGGTGTCGTTCCGAACTCATGGAAGACAGCTTTAGTGCACCCGATTCCTAAAAAAGGCGACCGCTCTCTCCCTACTAATTATAGGCCTATAGCCATCACCTCCTTTTTCTCCAAGATAATGGAGTCTATTATAAATTGCCAGCTCCTGCGGTACCTAGAGGACCACCAGCTGATCAGTGACCACCAGTACGGTTTCCGTCAGAGTCGCTCGGCTGGTGATCTACTAGTATACCTGACTCATCGTTGGGCAAAGGCGATCGAGACCAAGGGGGAAGCATTGGCGGTCGGTCTGGATATCGCGAAGGCCTTCGATCGGGTTTGGCCATAAGAAGGAAGCTTCTTTCGAAGCTTCCTTCTTATGGGCTTCCTGAAAAGCTGTGCGGTATCACTAGCTTTCTTGCGGACAGGAGCATCAAGATCGCAGTCGACGGTGCATGCTCGGACTCCAAATCCGGAAACGCTGGTGTTCCACAATTGATGGCATTCATTGTTATACAGACGACAGCACGGGTGATGCCCTATATACCGGCCGCGCCAACATTTCATGGGAAAACGTCATCGAGTGCCGGAACAAACTTGTGTCTGAAGTCGAAACTTTGTTAAACCGAGTAACGAATTGGGGCCGACTTAATCTAGTCCAATTTAACCCTACGAAGACACAAGAATGCGCGTTCACCGCAAAAAAAATACCATTTGTCGTATCTCCTCTTTTTGAGAACACTCTTCTAACTGCCTTAGCTAATTTTGGAATTGGAATTCTTGGCGTTGACGTCCAGTTTCGGGATCATTTCGAGGGCAAGGCCAAATTGGCCTCTAAGAAGCTTGGTGTGCTCAATAGATCGAGAATGTACTTCACACCGGCCCACCGACTGCAGCTTTATAAGGCACAGGTTCGGCCTCACATAGAGTACTGCTCTCATCTATGGGCGGGGGCACCCCAGTACCAGCTTCTCCCTTTGGATCGCATCCAGCGCCGAGCGGCTCGAATAGTCGACGACCAGGACCTTTCCGATCAGCTTGATCCTTTGGCTTTGCGTAGGGATGTAGCTTCGCTCTGCATCTTCTATCGCATTTATCACGGGGAGTGTTCTGAGGAATTGTTCGGATTAATCCCAGCTGCTGCATTTCGCCATCGTACATCGCGACAAAAATTTCATCACCATCATCTTGATGCGTGGCTATCCACAACCGTGCGTTTTTGGCGAAATTTTTTACCACGTACGACAAAACTGTGGAATACTTTATCGCCAGCAGTGTTTCCGGACCGATACGACCCAAAAACCTTCAAAAAAAGAGCGTACTCCTTCCTTAAAGGCCGGCATCGCATTTGTGATACTCCTGGTGTTGCAAGTGTCCATGGGCGACGGTGATCTCTTACCATCAGGTGAGCCGTCTGCTCGTATGCCCCCTATAACATAAAAAAATAAAAATAAAAAAAATCTGATGTTTTTTCTCACTTAATCTAATTAAATAGTTTTATTAAATAAAAACTTTTTTGCTCACTCTACCTATTTGGTTTGAATGGACAGCTATGACGTCACAATATGGCGCACAGTCGGTCCTATTCTTAGTTGAATCGCATTAAAGATACGATTTGTTTAGATGTGATCGTAACATAGCTGTAAGCGGACATGAACGTGGTGGCGGAGTGCTCATAGCAGTGCGCTGCGACTTGTGCCCGCGGCTCCGAGGCGACATGCATGAATCTCCACCTGCAGAGGAAGTACGGGTGTCCTGTCGGTGCTGCTGCGCTCACAGCTACTAGCTCGCGGTAGCGTTCTCTCCACCACCGTTACCACATCAAGACCCGTTCCACAATAATTAAACGTTATAACAACCAGCTCATGGTAATAATCTAAGCACATTGCTTACATG